CCTGGGGGGAGGCTGAGTCTCCCCCCACTTTTGCTCCTTTGTTGGATCCTGCATCTACATATCAAAGTGTGGTGGGGGGGTACTTCCCCCCCTCCCCAATGGTTTTTCCTATGGGGTGGCGCTATTTAAGAGTGGGCAGGGGTTGAACGAGCCTCATAGTGGGGTGGCTGAGCAGGTGGCAGTGTGGTGTGCGTGGCAGGGGAGGGGGCTTGCACCCACCTCCCCCCATCATAGAGGGGCTGTCAAGGTGGGCATGCTGTGAGAGCTGTGATAAAGGGGGATTCTGCCTTTCTCTGGTTAAAAACCCCCTCAATTTTTAGATTAAAAAAACTAACGCCAAATCCACATTTTTCCATGATTCCTAATTTCTAAAATTTCTAAAACTCCCACTCTCTCCTCCGCTCTCCTCAGAGCCTCTGGACCCGTCCAGTCCTGTTCTCTCCTGCTCTACCCTTCTTGGTCGCTGCCTCCGCCTCGCACCTTTCCCCCGGAGGCCCTGCCTGGCCAGGCGCTCACGAGCTCTGGCTGGGCTCTGTGCTTAGCGCCGGCTCTCGGTTCCCCCCTGTGCTCTGGGAGTCTCCAGCCCCCTTGAAGGAGCTCCCTCTCTAGCAGGTCTCTGGGTCTAGCAATTCTCTCTCGTGTCTCTCAACTCTGATGGCAATGCCTTCTCCAGCAGATCTCTGTCTAGCAGCTGCCTCCTGGAGTACCACACTCTCCTCTGGGTCTTGCCAAACTTCCAGCTTTCCTTTCCTTTCCTTTCCCAGATCTTAACCGGATGCTTTCTGGTTTACAGGCTTCACAAGCTGTTCTTGTTGGTGGCCCTTCCTGCCTTGCACTTTGCAAACCAATCCATCCAGCGAATCTTGGTCTTTCACAGCTGCGCAATCTGTACCGGCCTTGCTTTCTACAATCCAAAAACAATCTCTGTCTCTCTCCACGCAGCCTGTCAGTCCTTACAACACGCACGCAATCCAGCAAGCTTCGTTCTAGGACCGAGAGCTTCCCCCGAAAGACTGTGACATGGGTTGCACGCCACACAATCCCTTCAGAAAAGCTCCCCCTTGCTCAAAAAGGGAACCCTTAAACTAGGCCTCTGCAGAGAAAAAAATGTGCCTCTGATAAGCTCACTTTCCTTCCTTTGCCCAGAGTAACTTCTGGGCACTGATCTCTGTTTACACAGCTGCGCCCTGACGTTTCCCAAAACAAGCCGTTACACACTCCTATAACAATCTCTTCTAGGCCTCCCAAGGCTGGGGGGGCACGGTGACCGCCTGCAGGCGGTGGGGGTGAGCGGGGACCACCTGCAGGTGGCTACGGTGACGTCGCTGGTGAGAGTGGGCTGAGTGGGGACCGCCCGCAGGCAGCCATAGTGGTGTCCGCGGTGGCGGAGCGGTGAGGGGAAGCTGGTGGGTGCTGTCCCGCGACTGACCACCCACAGACGCCACCAGAAGCATTGGTGGTGGCCAGCAGTGATCGGCGACTGCCCGCAGACACCGCTGATGGTGTCGACGGCAAAGGGGGGGTAGCCAATCTCAGGGGTGCACCTCCAATCTCCGGGGGTGCACGTGCACCTGTACCTGTGTGCACTCCCTATGTGTCACCGATGCTTCTAGGCTCTTCACTGTTCCTAGAGAGGCAGTGGGGGAGAGCCAAGTTTTCCTCTCACTTCCAATCACCAATTTTCTGCCACTGCCTGAGCAGATGTCCAGTAGCATACCCTGTCTCTTTCTGTGCTCTCTGCTGCCTCTATTCTCCAATGCACACGGGATCCCTAAGTATCTGTAACCAGTAACATGCCTCTCAATTGTCTGCGCTTTTTGAAGCTGCACTGCCTGGATAACACTCTGCCTTGCCATAACCTGGACCTGTAACATACACCGTACAGACCCCACAGCAAACACATAACTACTCTTGTAGCCATCCACAAAAGACTGTAACACCCTTCTCAAGGACCCTAGAGTCAAAAGACCCTGTCCCTGTTCATTAACACAGTCTTTCCAGCAGAGAGATGACTTTCTCTGCTCTCTAGTTTTCTATTGCAAATGCAACAGGAGGTTCTTACTTAATCCGAGGCAGACTGCAGTACGTACCTGTGTCCACTACACTGCCCGACCCAGACAAACAATGTCTTCCAGTCAGCAGCAACAAACAACTTCTCCTGCATAAAACTTACAACCCTAGTCACAGTTAGCATACAGCTCTACCTTACTACAAATCTTAGCTAACCCCTCTAGAAAAGGTCACTGTATAGCAACAAATTCCCTGATCGGTCAGGTTACTGCCCTTGTGTCCCAGGACCCAGCCCCCATACCTTAGTTCTGGGCGAGCACAACCCTCAGACGGACCACAACACCTGCCAGTTGATAATAGGTGAGTTTACTGATCCAGAGTGATAACAGAAAAACTCCCAACAATGCAAACAACCAAACAATTCTATATCTTATATCTACCAATCCTCGGGCTGTCATCAGAGTTAAAGTACATCTGGCCAGGATGCAATCTTCACTTCTAAGGCTCTCTCTTAGGTGTCATCAGCCTGGAGATGGGATGCTGAGGCCCACACCCCCCCTCCAGTGGGGTGCAGGAGTCAGGCTACTGATATGCCCTTTGTCCCTGGTGACCTCAGGGACCCTTCCCAGCGAACAGGGACCCACAAGTCTTTGCTTTTGTCTTTTGCATAACAGACATCTGCAAAGTTTCAACAGACGGCTGACACTGAGGATTTCTCAGCTGCTTCATCTGTTTCTCTAATTGTTAATTAATAAATTCCTATACTTCTTACAATGTTCTATTCAGATACCACCTGTATTTCCACACTTTGAAGTCCACTTGCCTTAAGTTACACAATATATCTTAAAATCCACGGTCACCAATAGCACAACACCAACATTTCCCTTCCTAACCCTTGGGTACAGCTACAGCCAAGGATTAGTGGTAGGAGCAGGGATCCTAAACTCCCTCCCTAGTTTCTCGTGTAATCTACAGCCAAAAGACACCCATAAACTTGTTTCCATAAACTAGTTTATAACTCATTCCTTCTTTCTCCTAAGCAAAAACATCTCTGAATCTCCAAATTGGTGAGAATCCAACTTCTCCCGTAAGCTTGGGGAATACTACAGCCTGAGTTGTGTACACGAAAAGAGCAATAAACACAGAGCTTCCTCTGTATCCCCACCCATCTGCATTCTCCACCAATTAAATGTTGCACAAATTGCCAATTGCTCAAATCATGAGTGAGACCTTATGAGGGGGATAAGGCAAAGTACTGCATTTATTGATTAAGCGCTTAATACACATCGACACACACACACCACATTAATAACCCAATTTCTGTTCTGTGCTGGTATACGTTACCAGTTTTAGCAGTGCTTGGATCAACTTAGTGGCTAGACAAATTGATTGTGAGTGGGAGCCAGGCTCCTGCCAGTCCATCTCATTAGACAAACCAGTGCTCCAGGATGACATGCAAAACAAGACCCAAAGTTGATGTGTCTCGCCCCATCTTTTATAGCCTTGTCAATTCACCCAGTTCTCTGCTCTTTTGCTGGGTTATCACTATGTTCTTCCTTGAAGGTCAATTGCTGTTGTTCTCTTGCTGTTCTGGGGTGGATTTTTTTTGTTTGGTCTTTTATCTGTCTGCATTCTTCAGCCAGTTGCCAGCTGATGGTTTTGTTTTCCACAGACACACTCTCACCCATTCTCTCACACATACAGCATACAAAGGTCGAGCACTTATGTCAAGCTACAGAGCAATACAAAATAGATTTTCTTAAGGCAATGCAAAACTTCAGAAAATACATAAGATTAAGGCAATAGGCAAAAGTCTGTCTCCATGTGATTTACCTAATATTAAGCTGGTATTTATTCCATTTGCATAACACTAGTGTGTGTGTGTGTGTGTGTGTGTATATACAGACACACACACACACACACACACACACATATATATATATGGCGAGAGAGAGAGAGAATATTAGTGGCGTTTCAGGGAATATTAGGGAATAACAATAGGGAATATATATAGGGAATATTAGAAGAGTTTCTGAGATGATGCACGTCGCTGAGTGTAGCTGCACATCAACGAGTTTGGTGTATGATGAACAGTTGCAGACTGGTGTGTGGTTCTCTGCTGCAGGATATGAGATAGCAAGAGCTGACATCCTTTGTGGCAGAAATGCCACTGTCGGTGCCCCTCTCCAGAGACCTGTCTCTGCCAGCCTGAGAGGCTGGTGCTGAATCCCTCAGGGCGGGGATCTCCCACCTTGTCTGCATGACAAAAGCCTGGGGCCTGAATGCTCTGGTCACCTGGGCCGGGGGGA